TTGCTGGTTTGTCGGTAGCAGCTCCTGAAACGCAAGACTGCCACACATCTGTTCGACCAACGCCAGTTGATCTAAACGCCAGTAGATCTGGAACAGCGGCTTTCCAGGACTTGATACCGACAAACCAGGAAGTAATCAGTGTGAATACGTCGCCTACAAACGGCACTTTGTGGGGTTGGCTAAACACAACAATCTGTCATTCATATTGTTTTGGAAAAAGAAACATAAAATAACCTCAGAGTTTAACTGGTGATACTCCCACGCGTAAGCATACCGCGAATACAGCAATAAGCAAATAACAGTGCCTATTCAAAACAGGCGAAAGTTAATTAACAGTATAGAAAATGTTCTAGTCTTCATTATTATTTTCCCACATATTGTTATTACTCTGATGTGACCTGAGGGTTGTCAAACTGACAGACAAAGCGTCCAGTTTACATCAAAAGCAGAGTCCACTCCACTAGTGGCACCTGTGGGGAAGTGCCATTGCCTAAACAATATTAACCTGTGACACACCTACACCTGAATTCCTAGAGCTTCCTGCTTTAGCAGGTATCTCTTATCAATAAGCAAGCTGCTGAAAGTAGTTTTTATTTGAGCAACGTATTCATAGTCTTGCTGAGATATATTTGCTTATGTGTGTTCTCCTATAATCACATTAGATCTTTTTCTTGTGTTCATCTAAGACAACCAACAGCAACATGAACTGTAATGAGGGGAAGGGTCTGGATGTCCAGCAGGTCTGTAACCAGGAGAGTAACTCCACATTGGACCCACAGGACCCAGAGCATCCACAGATTAAAGAGGGAGAGCAGCTTGTAGTGAAGCAGGAGGCTGAGGGCATCATCATCTGGACTGGAGAAGAGCGGCTCAGACTGCTGGATACCATCTGGAAACCTGAAATAACGACATACAGTAAAGGTATGCTAAACTGCCCTTAAAAATAATGAAGTAACATTTCTTTCTCTTAGCATAGCAGGAATCTGCAATAAGTAAAATTAATGCACCTCTGCAGACTGCAGTGTAAATGGTGGCTTGGTGGCTCTTTGACAGCAACTTTGACATGCAGCAGTGGCTTCACTGTTCTTATACACAAAACAAACAATTATCCACACAAACTACATATCAACACACTAACTACACTCCAAACATGCTACACATCAGAAATCTCTCACATCTCAAAACTCAATCTCTCTCTTCCTACCACTGACCTTAGACAGTAAATGTGACAATAGTATTCCGGAAAAAATTATGGCGTATATTTTTTATTTATCACTTTTTAAATTTTTTTTTATCACATTTACCACTTTTAACACAAAAATGGACACTCAGGGTTGTTTTGGGTTGAAATAGCATCTTGTTGCTATGTGTCATCTTAAATTGGTCAGGTGATTGGTTTACCATGGCTACTTTATTCTTCCTCAGCCAATCAGCAGCACCCGTGTGATTGTCCCCCCCCAGCTCCTGGTTAATTGAAAAATAGTAACGTGTCCACACCACATTTTCTTATTAGTAACTGTAACAGCGTTGTAAACATAGAAATAGTAATTAGTTATAGTACTAGTTACTGACAAAAGTAACAGCGTTAGTAACATTGTTACTTTTAACGCCATTATTCCCATCATTGCATTTTAAGGATGCAAAAAAAAGTTAATTCATGTGAAAAAAATTCACCAGAATGCAAGAAGTGACGTGTCTGCACCCCTACAGAGACACAAATCCAACAGCAGAAGTTTCTTTTTTTTGTCATCAGTTTAAGTTAAAGATTAAGTTTTTTTCTCTGTAGAATGGAAATGTGTGAAATTTAATTTGATCAATTCCCAGAATTAATTAATGGATTAATTTTTAGATTCAGTTTTCATAATATACAATTCAGAATTTCTAAAGTTGAAGTTGATCATATAAGAAGAGTTTTTTTCATGGTGTTTGGACGTGTGCAGTCAAAGTGTTTACCACGATATAAGAGGTCAGAGCCAGCATTCCCAAACTAAATTAAATTGGAAGAAAACCAATATCTTTAAAATTCATACATATTTAGTATCACAAACATCCAAATACTCAACAATTTGCTTCAGTGTCCAAATAATTTGTCACATTTGTACACTCTAAATTTCAGTGGTACATGTGAGCAACCTGTTCATAGTTCACAACCATTAAAGTACTGCTAATCGTTAAAATTAGAATATATTTTTGTCCACTTGTCCCTTCAGATCTTGCGCAACAGTGTGTCTTTAAGCAAGAGGATCTGCATGACCAGCAGGTGTGTAACCAGGAGAGGAACTCCAGTTTGAACCACGAGGACCCAGAACTCCCATGGATTAAAGAGGAACCAGAGGAACTTTGCACCAGTGAGGAAGGAGAACAGCTTTTATTGAAGGAGGAGACTGATACCTTTATGGTGACTTTTGATGAAAGTGAACATGAACCAAACAGAGACCAGCTCCTTTCTCACAACTCTCCTGCACCAGAGAGCCAGCATCAAGGAGGAAATGAGCATGTGGAATCAGAATCTACTAGAAAACCAGAGCTGAAGAACAGTAACAGTGTAAACAACTCTCCAGTGCCAGAGAATCAGTGTAAAACTGGCAAAAGTAAAAAGTCTCTAAATTGTGACACTTGTGGAAAGACTTTTCAGTACGAATGTCACTTGACAAAACATGTAAGAATTCACACAGGTGAGAAGCCTTTTTCTTGTAGCACCTGTGGGAAATGTTTTGGTCAGAAATCAGGACTGGAAACTCACATGAAAATTCACACAGGTGAGAAGCCACATTTTTGCAGTATCTGTGGAAAAGGATTCAGTCAGATGATAAACCTGAAAACTCATATGAGAGTCCACACAGGTGAAAAGCCATATTGTTGTAGCACATGTGGAAAAACCTTTAGTGCCTTGTCAGCCTTCAAAACCCACATTAGAATTCACACAGGTGAGAAGCCATATTGTTGTAAGACTTGTGGGAAACGATTCACTCAGCAATCTGGACTGGAACATCATATGAAAATTCACACAGGTGAGAAGCCACATTCTTGCATTACCTGTGGGAAAAGCTTCAGTCGTATGAAGTCCTTGAAAACTCACATGCGAATTCATACAGGTGAGAAGCCACATTCTTGCATTACCTGTGGAAAAAGTTTCAGTCATATGATGAACTTGAAAACCCACATGAGAATTCATACAGGTGAGAAGCCATATTCTTGTAGCACCTGTGGGAAAAGATTTAGCGATTTATCAGGATTCAAAAAACATAAAATGATTCATACAGGTGAGAAGCCCCACCCTTGTAACACCTGTGGAAAGAGATTCAGTGACATGACGAATTTGAAAGCTCATATTAGAATTCACACAGGTGAGAAGCCATATTGTTGTAACACTTGTGGGAAACGATTCAGTCAGAAATCTGGAGTGAAAATTCATATGAAAATTCACACAGGTGAGAAGCCACATTCTTGCATTACCTGTGGGAAAAGCTTCAGTCATATGACGTCCTTGAAAACTCACATGAGAATTCACATGCCTGAGAAGCCACATTCCTGTGGCAATTGCGGGAAAAGTTTTGTTCAGCTGATACACTTGAAAAGGCACATGAGAATTCATACTATTTAAGTTTTAAAATGTGGAATGTACTTTATTATAGAAAAACAAGAATGGATAAAATAATTTATTGACACTTGTATTCTATAGCCAAGATTACATCACTCTATCCAAAAGCTGGAAAGTGACACAAATAAGTAAAAGTCATTATGGATTTGAACAGTGTTGTCCGTTATTTCCCAATGTTTTCTTTATGTTTGACACTGCTTAGATGAAATCAGAAAATGTTGTTTTAATTATTTAAATAAACATATCTCTTTTTTTTTTTTTTTTTTTTGCAAATGTGGGCTTTTTATTTCTTCCAGAGAGAGATATAGAATGAGAAGGATTTTTTTACTCAGATCTTAGAATGATACCGTCACGGCTGCGGTGGCAGATGTGTGGTGAGTGTGAGAGAGGACCCAGACGCTGGCACTGTCTTGGACGTGAGCGAGCTTTATTTGCACACTGGTGGCACAAACAGAAACACGGGGAGGAAAACAAAACCTAAAGGTGACCTAATTTGGTAATGACTAACAAAACTAACCTAAACAGACAACTGTGGTAGAAAACGCGGGAAGAAACACAGATGGACAAGCAACGAACATGAGAGGACACACACTATGGCTGTGTCCCAATTAAGAGACCGCACGCTTGAAGTACACATTTTGAGTACGATTACGTCACCGCCACGGGACGACGGCTGTCCCAATTCGAAGTGTACTTCAAATGCATACTCCAAATGCGCCGTCGATTTTCCCAAATATCAAGCGTGGTCCGGTGCACGCTTCGTGGTCCCATATATCCCACAATTCATAGCGCAGCGGTGGGTGTGGATAATTTTGCCGCAAAATACGGCAGAAGGCAGAAAGGAGCGGCCGAAGACTGAACTGTCAAAAGTAAGTACTGAATATGATGTCTCTTATTTATGTGCGAATGTTTAATAATGAAGAACATTAAAACATTAATGTTGGCCACATGTTGGCAAAGTTATGTGACATTAGTGATGTTTTAAAGCCTCTACTTCAAAATATATATATAGTTGACCTTAATCTTACAGAGAATGTGATGATTTTATGGATAATTAAAGTCAGTCATATATCCACAAACACAACAAGCTGAAAGTCAGTGAATGCTGCTCGGTTTGCAGTCCTGAATATCACGGCACAAGCAGGATTCATTGCACTGTTAATGTTAGCTATGTTATATTGCTGCCTCTGTTCGGTGGTGTCGAGCCAAACGGACTTTAACTTGTGTTTGAACGAGCTGACGGTTCACTCGTTAAGCTGAAAGAAAGATGCTTTAATCACAGGAGTCACACATGTGTCCACTGCACCATCTGGGAGCTCTTCTTGTTTAGCACTTTGTGTTGGATGTAAAAAGCAGGCTAGAATCATGGCGGTGGTCAATGACGGTCCAGGCGTGGGATTTCTCTCGTGGAAATATGCACATTATCTTTCTATTGGTAGGTGGCACAGTGCACTTGTGGCAAGTAAGCAAGCTAGAAGACTGGCAATTATGCTGGCTATCCAGTTACAGAAGCAACACATTAACAAGAGAATTCTGAGTAAAACCAAAGTTACTTTCCCTAGTAACTAGTTACTTTGAAAGTTATATATGATGTTAATGCAGCACTACAGACGATACCTACAGCCACGATTACCAACTATCGGAGTTGCAGAAAGGCACAATGAAGAAGGTGCCTAAGAAGTACAGGAAGCTGTCCATATCTGAGGCCCTGGAAACTGCCATGCAACGACTCACGTCCTTGGCCAGCCGCTTGAAGAGGTACACCAGAGAGATAGAAGGCAGGAGAATAAACCAGCTGTTCTCCACGGAACTAGCCAAGGTGTACAGGGGCAGGGGAACAATATGAGAACAGCACCACCAAGGCTGGAGACAGAACAATACTGGAAGAGCATATGGGAGAAGGACGCAACCCATAACAGCAATGCTCAGTGGCTAGTGGATCTGAGGGCAGACCACAGCGACCTCCCCGAACAGGGTCCAGTAACCATCACAATGGCAGATATCCAAGAAAGGGTCTCCAGTATGAAGAGTTGGACAGCACCAGGTCCTGTTATGGTTCGCGCCTTCTGGCTGAAGAAGCTGACTGCACTCCACGAGCACCTGGCAGCACAAATGAGCCAGCTGCTAGTTGACGAGAGACACCCAGAATGGCTAACCGAAGGCCGGACAGTCCTGATCCTCACTGGGTCACCGACCCAGGATCATAACAGATACTTTTGTTACAAGGAATGTCTTACATAGCTTAGCATAATTTATTGTTGGAAGCAAGCTCAGCCTTAGACATCTGCAGCAGTATTATTAAACCATATAACCACTGAATTCTGCAGAATAACTACATTTTCTTTTGATTCCTTAAGAACAGTTCAGCTGTAATAGTTTGGCTCATAAAAAGGTGTTTGGATGTGTGGTATGACTACGTCTGCTAGTAGTGGTTATAAAAAAATCTCTTGGCACTTGTAATTGTCAGCCAATGGTGAATAATTTGATAATTATAGAAGTAATAATATCTTCATCCAGGAAGGCGTGCAGAAAGGTGAAGACATATCCAGATGTGGTGGCCCAACTAGTTAAAAAACTTAGACAATATGTGGCAACCAGACAATATCAAATTTGTCAAAATTATTTTTAGTAGTCTTCACAGTATCAATGCCATTTATCATAAATTAAGTTTATATGACTTTTCATGAAAAGGCATTTACCTCTGCATTTCATTCCACTATGAACTGAAAAGAAGTGAATGACTTGACAAGAAGAAATTGTTAATAAATAAACAGCTTTCTTTCAGGTCACATTGAGATTGATGACATTAGTTTTGGAAAAGCACTTCAAAAATGTCATGAAACCTCCACTTTTTTGGTAATTTTTGTGTACAGTGCTTATCGTCTTACCTTGTCATTTACCCTTTAAAAAACTGTTTTAAAAGGTCACTTTTCAACTTAAAATTTAAAACATTTAACAAACAAATACCAACTTAAGAGCTGTACAAAAATATATAATTTTACCACTAGATGGCAGAAGTAGCTTATTACCTAGTGCTTGAATCCTTAAAAATAAAGATAACACATAATTGTTTTTAAACAAGGAGATTTTTTTCATCCATTCATCCAACCATTTTCTTGCATTTATCCAATTTAGGGTCCTATTAAAAAACATTTAGCCAGTTATGTGGATGCATGTGCACAAATAAGGAGCTTTTCTCTCTAAAAAAAAAACCTCTTAAATGTCCAACAAAAAAAGCTATATTGTGAGCTAGATAAGCTATTGTCTTGTTTTTGGTCAAGCTTTTAAATTGTTTAGACTCCCATACCTGTAACTTTCACTTAAGGTTCACTGAATCTTCAGTAACCTATATACAATGTTATGAAAAAGTATTTGGCTCTTTTATAATTTCTCATTTTTTGCATATTTGTTACACTTGTTTCAGGTCAAATCAAGAATAGTTTTAATTCAGTTGTGATGGAAAGTTTTAGAGCATAAACAACTTGTTTAATGTCATGCCAAAGCATCTCAACCCAATTTAAATCCACTAGGCCAGTACCAGGTGACCCTAAAGCCTTTTTCCTTTTTAAAAAAAAAACCATTTAGAGGTGGTTGGTTGTGTGTTTCCAATCATTGTCCTGCTGCATAACCCAAGTGTGCATATTGAACATAAAAAATGAGAAACAAAAGCATTGATCCCATCGTAGGATAATGGTGATATCCACTTGTTTGTTCTTCTGTTGGATTTCTTATGTTTTTTTAAACCTTCCAGGTAAAAGTCTAAAGAGCTTGGAAAGAAAAGCGTCTGGACTTCTTTAAGTTGCTTGAAGACGTTTCACCTCTCATCCGAGAAGCTTCTTCAGTTCTAGGGTCAAATGGTGGAGAGTCCCAGCTTTAAGTCCTAGGGGAGTGTCCCCCAAAGGGGGTCATGAACCCCTTGTTAATCCTCTACCTAATCGCACGAGTCAAGGTGTTAAAACGGGTGTAGGTCACAATTAGCCAAGGTTTCAGGTGAACCCTAGCCCCACCCTATCATGTGATTTCTTGAGGGCAAAAGGACCAGGGTGTGAGTGGGCATTAAGGCGTCTGGGAAGGGATCTTAAATCTGGATTATAGATGGCAGACAGTTGGTGTCGTAAACCAGTTCTGTTCAAAGATGGTCATTCACAGTGGTCATAGATGGCTTCTTTCACTCCTCTTTCAAACCATCTTTCTTCTCTGTCCAAAATGTGAACAAAAGAATGACCTTTAACCTTTAGATGCAGATGGACAGCCAAGTCTTGCCCCCTGGAGGTGTCTCTTATATATATGTTATGCCATGCTGTTAAGTGGCTGTTTGGTTTCTCCAATGTAGAGGTCTGAGCATTCCTCACTACATTGTACAGCATATACTACGATGCTAAGTTTCTGTTTAGGAGTTCTGTCTTTGGGATGAACCAGTTTTTGTCTGAGTGTGTGGGTGGGTCTGAAGTACACTGGGATGTCGCGCTTGGAGAAGACTCTCCTGAGTTTTTCCGATAAACCGGCAACATAGGGGATGGCAATGTTGTTGCGTTTGTCTTTCTGATCCTCCCTAGCTGGTGTTTGATCTTCTTTTCTGTGCCTCTTTGCTGACTTGACTGTTTTTATCCACAGCTTTGATGTGAGCAGTGAAGGCTTCTACTTCTTGGGTTTTGATTTTGACCCCGGTGTCATCTACATATCTGTACCAGTGGCTAGGTACTCTGCCTTTAAAAGAGCCAAGAGCCTTTCTTTCCAATTCTTCCATGTAAAGGTTGGCTACAATAGGTGACACCGGGGAGCCCAAGGCACATCCATGTTTTTGTTTGTAAAAACCCTCGTTGTATTTAAAATATGTGGTGGTAAGGCAGAAGTGTGCAAATCTAGTTGGGGGTGAAGCTGGTTTTGTCTTCCTGCTGTCTTCTTGTAGTTGTTTTCTGACAGTCTCCACTGCTTCCGTGGTGGGTATGTAAGTGAAGAGAGAGACTATATCAAAGGACACCATTGTTTCATTGTGCGCAGTGTGAGCGGCTGTGGCGACACCCTCACGACAGTCGTGAGGATTTCAAACAGGTTTGAAATCCTCCCGACCAAGCGCTTGATGATCGGGAGCTGGTCGTGAGGTGTTAATCGCTTCTCGTTACCCCACGTATACTACACGATGCACGACGCACAATGAAGGCCAAACTCGGGCCTATCACCAAAATGGTTGCACGACTCAAA